CATCATCATCATCATCATCATCATCATCATCATCATCATCATCATCATCATCACCATCACCACCACTGCCTCCACAAACATCACATCACCATCATCACCACGGCCATCATTTGCCACAGGTCGTAAGAAGGTAGAGGAAGTATTCCACGAGCCTTGTGAAAGGTCCGAGTTCTATTCCATGGGCGACCTATTGACACCCCCTGTGTTCTTCAACCCAGCTCATGAAAACTCCGAGTTCATGCACAAAGTGAGTATATTTTACTTAACTCGGGGATTGAACGTTTCAAAACGTGCTAAGTCATTGAAAACCGTGTGATATATAAAAAAAGGTTCCTTTCTGCATAAAGTGGGTACATGATTCAACTTGGTTTTTGAGTGTTAAACCAACGTGTTTAGTTATCAAAATCCGTGTGCTCTAAACTTTTCCAGCTCATAAGTGAGTGCATGAATAAACTTGCTGCATAGGTTTGAGGTTTTTTAAAATGTATTTAATTATCGAAAGCAGAGTAACCCGCCAAAAGCCAAAAGTTTTTTTAAAGTGTAGAAAAGGTTGATTTTGCTTCTTGATCTGCACGCTGTTGAATCTAAGGATATAAAAACCATTCGTTGCACGGCACCTTTTGTGACCAAACAAGCAAACAAACTAATAAACAGACTAAAAAGGTGTGTGTGGGGGGGGGGTGCATTTTAAAGCTGTAGAGGTTTAAGATTCTGTTCACGATCTCAAGACTTATGTTCGAAAAAGGGAAATAACCAATTTTATCTTTGAAGATAAAACGGGTAGGTGGTACCGACAACTGGAACAAACTGCGACCCAATGGCATTTTTTACTCGAGCCAGAGCGCCAATTACTCAGTTCCTCTCTTTCTCTTTCTATCCTGCCGCCTTCAACCCCACTTCTACCCCCCCCCCCCCGAAAAAAAGAGAAAAAAAAATGTATGTCTTCATGAATGCGTGTTTGCCATTGTAACCCAAGATTCCCCACTCGAATCAGTAAAGTGTAATTCATTCATACATTCATTCGTTCGTTCGTTCGTTCGTTTGTTCGTTCGTTCATTCATTTTTGTCTTTCTTTCTTTCTTTCTCTTTTTATAAATTTATTATATCTTACAATCGTGACCAACAATAGCAGGACTAATCTCTTGTCTTTCTCCTCAGTCTCTTACCTTGGGCGTTGTGCCATCTCAAGACGAAGAAATTTCTAGGTAAGTAATTTCTGTGGTCTGGTCTCAATGTAAAAAAAACAACAACAACAACATCAATTTCATAAAGGAACCTGTTGATTGTAGTCTATCTGTAAACATTGTTTGGGGGTGTATACTGTAAACTGTTGTTCAAAGCCCATTACCTTCTCATAAAGAAAGGGAAATGTTTATTTTTCCCGGAATTGTACGCTCTGTGGAGACGAGATTTTTTTGCAGCTCTTCTTGACGAAGAGGGGAGGAGGAGGAGAAGGAGGAGAGGGAAGGCAAAGGGGAGGAGGAGGTATAAGAAAAAAGAAAATGAAAAAAAAGAAGAAGAAGAAGAAGAAGAAGAAGAAGAAGAAGAAGAAGAAGAAGAAGAA